ATCAACCATTTTGGTTACCTGGGCTCTTTTCATCTAAACTCGTGGGGTCTTCTGGCTGCTGTACATTGTCATCCCCCACCCCCCATTCCTCCAATCTCCTCACATGACTCAGGGTCATGTCCACTCTGGACTCTCCCAGATGTCCCTGCCTCTATGCTCTCCCATCTATCTACAATAAACTTTCTCCATCATACCTAGGACCTGTCCTTTTCTTTGCTTCTTTGTTCCCTTCTTTCTTTGTCTCTTCCTTCCTTCCTTCCTTCTTTCCTTCCGTCCTTCTTTCCTTCCTACCTTTTTTCCATTCAAGTGCTCTGGAACTTCTCACTTGTTTTGTGAAGCTTCCCCTGTTATGCCCAATTCTGAACCCCAAAACCACCAAGAGACCCAATCCAATGCAAAAGCAAAAAGTCTTTAATTAATTAACCAGTTAACTGTATTAACTCGGGTCCTCTGTCCATCTGACACAGGGGGGTGGAGGGAGGACAGAGGGCAGGGAATTTATTGGGGTAGAGCAAGGGGAGTGTCTGGGGGTCTGCAACAGTCTTAGGGTTGGTGCACTTCCGGGCTTGGGCGACCTGTCCTAAGTTGATTGGTCAGGAATGGTTGCTATGCTCAGAGGCTCTCCCAGGGCAGTTGCTATACTCTGCACTCCACTGTTACCGCAAAGCATATCCAGAGCCTGCCAGCTAACTTCTGATTGGTTCCTTGTCACATAGAGAGTATCTGACCTCCTAATGACTAGAAGGTCGGGCAAGGTCAAAAGCTCAGCACGTTTTGATGAGTCAGAGGCCTACATCTTGCTGTGTCTTTTCTGCAGTCTGTCATGGCTGCTAAAGCAGGGGCTGGATGAGGGTCTGGTTCCTTCACCCCTACCTTCCACCATGTGACTATTTGCTGAATCTATTACTGAACCTGCCTGCGTTTTTGGACTCTAACACAAAGAGTGACAACTTCATTTCTTCTTTCTATCTTCCTCCTCCTAGTGGTTGGGGAGATTTCTGTTAACCCCTCTCTGCTTTTATTTTTGTTGTTGTTGTTGTTTTGTTTTTTTGAGACAGGGTTTCTCTGTATTGCTTTGGAGCCTGTCCTGGAACTTGCTCTGGGGAACAGGGTGGTCTTGAACTCACAGAGATCCACCTGCCTCTGTCTCCCGAGTGCTGGGATTAAAGGCGTATGCCACCAACGCCCGGCTCTGTTGTTTTTCTTACAAACTCAAATAGCATTGTCTTTGAGTTTCCTTTTGAGTCAATTTCTAAATTAATGAGACTATGAACCCTCAAAAAGAAATCTTAAAATTCTCTGATAAACATGGTACCAAACTTAGGGAGGCTGCCTGTGCCCCAATGAGCCACCTATCCTTAAAGTCAATTAAGAAAAGCCAAATTAACACTGAAAACCAGAGAAGCAGTATTTATTCAGTGTGATCACATTGGGAAGAGAGACAAAGAGACCCAGCAACTCAGCAAGTCCATCTTCAGTGTTCTAACTGGAGATTGCACCTGAAGTAGAAGGTCAGGATTAGGCATGTCTAGAAGCCCTGGTCAGGTGTGGTTCTTGTTGTGGTGGAAGCTTCACACCAGCCCCTGGCATCCATATACCCAAAGAGTCTGGGATGTTATGGTGGAAATTCCACCCGAGCCCCCTCCCCTATCTCTCCAAACCCTGCTGCATCCCAGAAAGCTTGCCAAATGATGATCCCTTCCCCAGAGATGCTCAAGACTATTCCCACAGGGTATTTAAACTGTCCCCCAGAAAACAGATTCATGGTTTTTTTTTTATATCCCTTTCCTGTCTCCTCTCTGGGGGGCTGGAAGGCCACTCAGGAGCGCTGTATCCATTAAATGTGGGTTTTTTTCTAATTTGGTTTGATTTGGTCTTATTTGGATTGCTGCATCAGTGGAGAGGCTTATCCAGGTGTAGAAACTTCTCAGTCTGTCCCATCTTTGTCTCTAGGTAAAGTGGTCTCTCAAGCTGTGAATCACTTTCTTGGAGGAAAGTTTCCTCTCTGGCTGGCCCAGGCTTCCTTAGGCTTTCCTTCTTTCAGCATGAGATTTCCAGGGACTCGCCATCTGCCTGTCTTCCTGCTCATCCATCTGGGCTTGCCTATCCATTCTCCTCTTGTCCCTTTGTCTGGGCCCAGTTCTGCGCTTTTAGATCCGTAGCTGGGCTCAACTGTAATTTTACTCTCAAATCTGTGACCTGCAGCCTTGTGGCTGGGTTTGTTCCTTTTCCAATGCAGAGATGATGACATCTCCATCAGCTCCCAAGTGATACTGTGAGACATTTCATTACACTGTGCACAGATATGTCACTGTGTTTGGTTTAATAAAACCATAAATGGCCAATAGCTAGGTAGGAGGTATAGGCGGGATTTCTGGACAGAGAGACCTCTGGGACGAAGAAAGGCAGGGTCCCTGGCTGGACACAGAGGCACTAAGACATGCAGGAGGAGAGGTAAAAGTCACGAGTCTAGAAATGGCTTAACTTAAGTTATAAGAGCTAGTGGAGCAAGCCTAAGCTAAAGACCAGGCATTCACAAATAATAACAAATCTCTGTTGTTATTTGAGAGTGGGACAGGAAAATAACCAAGTATTTGCTTCTCAGGCTCCCCTACAACTCCCTTACTGCTAACTCTTTGTAGTCATTCTGTAACACACACACACACACACACACACACACACACACACACACACACACACAGAGACTTTAATAAACTCCCTACAACTCCCTTACTGCTAACTCTTTGTAGTCATTCTGTAACACACACACACACACACACACACACACACACAGAGACTTTAATAAACTCCCTACAACTCCCTTACTGCTAACTCTTTGTAGTCATTCTGTAACACACACACACACACACACACACACACACACAGAGACTTTAATAAACTCCCTACAACTCCCTTACTGCTAACTCTTTGTAGTCATTCTGTAACACACACACACACACACACACACAGAGACTTTAATAAACTCCCTACAACTCCCTTACTGCTAACTCTTTGTAGTCATTCTGTAACACACACACACACACACAGACATTAATAAACTTCAATACATAGATAGATGATAGATACTTCAATACATGGATGCTTATACATAGATAGGTAGGCACAGATATATTTACGATGTGACATGTAATGGGTGATTTGAGAGTTAATATTAGTAATTAAGATCACAATTAAATTGTGTGTCTTAGACAGGACTGTCAAGGAAAAGAAAGTGTCTGGAAAATTTTTGCTATTGAGACTGCCGTTGAGTTGCGAATTTACTGTTCGTTAGGTCTCAAACTCCAAATGGCAGTGCATATGTTTACAAAATGACAGTCTTGGCTCATCTCAAGCTGGACTACAGGAGGATTTCTGTGTTGGATAAAAGCTTGCTGTCAGCATTCCTCAGGAACCTGTTTTCTGCCAGCCCGTAAGGGCCACCTCCCTTGATGGTACCCGTGGTCACGTATCAAAGGCTCCAGACTCCTTCAGTCCCTATTCCTGAGTCCTGCTAGGCATTTCAAAGTCCACACTAGCCTCCCGGCCCTTCTCCCTCCCCCACTCCCACTCCTTCCCTGTGTGTGTGTGTGTGTGTGTGTGTGTGTGTGCGCGTGCGCGCGGAAGCTGCTCCCGGGTTACAGCTAGTCCTCTGTAAAGGTCAGCCTTCCTCCCTGCCCCCCATTCTCTCTCTTGCTGTTCTCACTACTCTCTGCTCTCCCCACCATTCTCTCCGGAGAGACAGCCCTGGCCATGGCCAGTCTGCTTCTTTTTCTCTTTGCTCTGGATTCTACCAGATGTCTCTGCCTGTTCTCTCTCTCTTATCTCTAACAAACACCCTCCCTCTAACTCATGGAGTGGCCGTGTTGGTGGTCTCTTTATTACACCCTCGCCTACGCTGTTGTTCGGTAAATTCTGACAATGCAGAAGCACACAAACAAACATACTTGTCTGTGTTACCGACACTGTGCACTCGTGACAACAGCGGGTGAAGTGTGATCCGTCCGTGCCTGGGATTTTAGACTTGGGGTTGAGTCTCGGGAAGTAGGGTGGCTGCCTGCATTGGTTTGCTATTGCATTGGTAGCCCTAGTACTGCAGGGTAGATGGCTCAAGACGTCTGTGACACAGCAGGAGAGATACTCCATTGCTTCTGCCGGGAGGCTAAGGAGTTCTCTTCTTCAAGGACCTGTCAGATCCTTGCCTGTTCCACAGAAATGAATTTCAGGACTAGTCATAGTGAAGCCAAGTTGGTGAATTTATTAATAAAAAAATGAAAAAAGAAAAAAAAAGAGGCAAAGTGTGCTCCAGAAATAATAAGCTGTCATGCTCAGTTTGTGGGGTCTCCCCTAAACCAACAAGGAGACCAGATCCCACATGTAAAAGCAAAGAGCCTTTATTTAAGTTCGAACTCTCAGACTCTCCACATGTCCAACACGTTGGCATGATCAGAGAGCCTTGAGCTCAGCTGGGGTGAGGTAACAAAGGTTAGGGTGAGAGATGTCTAGGATTTAGGACCCCTGATTGGCTGACACTTGTCTAGGAGTGTCTTGGTGAAAGGGGATGGGTGTGTGCTGAGCTGAGGGACATCTGGTAAACCTATCTGCAGTGGCTGGAGCATTAGGTATTTATTTCCTTTGAGCATTAGGCCCTTTCTCCTTGGATGCTGGTTGCTCCATTCCTGGGGGTGCTGGGTGATCCCACTCTGTGGTCTTTCCTGTAGTCAGATGTTGCTTTGGGGTAAACTGAAACTTCTGGCCTACTTTCTGGTTGGTCTCTTCTGAGTTTTGGCATGGCAGTAGTGCAGCCAGGTGGCAGGTGTGTGCCAAGCAGCCCTGGGCCCCATATTGCATGCAAAACTAAGGGAGAGAGTTTATTTATTACATATACAGTGTTCTGTCAGAATGTTGGCCTGAATGCCAGAAGAGGGCACCAGATCTCATTATAGATGATTGTGAGTCATGTGGTTGCTAGGAATTGGACTCAGGACCTCTCGAAGAGCAGTCAACACTCTTAACCTCTGAGCCATCTCTCCATCCGCTTGGTGAGGTTTTAGATAGCTTGTTTCATGGGAAAACTTTAATAGGGGTAGTGATTATTCATGCAGGGAAAAGGTGGGGGATTCTAGAAATGGTTGAGACTTTTTTCCCAGGGTAGGGTTTGCTCCCCATTTCTTTTTTTTTTTTTTTTTTTTGGTCTTTTGAGACAGAGTTTCTCTGTAGCTTTGGAGGCTGTCCTGGAACTCACTTTGTTGATCAGGCTGACCTCGAACTCACAGAGATCCGCCTGCCTCTGCCTCCCGAGTGCTGGGATTAAAGGCGTGCGCCACCAACGCCCGGCTCTGCTCCCCATTTCTGTTTGCATATGAGGTGTTTGCAAGGGAAGTGATAAGTAAGAGAGTTCCGCAGTAATGAAGTACAGGCTAGTTAACGGTCATACAGGCAGCTCTGATGCTTGTTCCTGGGCAGCTCTGTGTGTGCAGTCTTCCTGTATCTGCATCACAACGCAGTCTGCCCCCTTTCCTCTATGCCCATCTAGCCTACCTTATTTCAAGGAAAAAGGAAAAAAACAGGATATGATCTATGTGCGTGCTCTCTGAGGGTTGTGAGGCAGGGGCCACCCAGACTCTCTTCTTGGCTTGTGGATCACGATCTCTTGCCTCCCTAGGTCTCATCACACCGCCCACCTTCTCTTCTTTCTTTCTGTTCTGATCCCCCCACCTTTTTTTTTTTTTGTAAGGATTCCAGTTGGAGTGGTCTGAATGAGAATGTTCCCATATATTTGAAAGCTTGGTCCCCAGTCAGTCAGTGGACCTGTTTGAGAAGGATTCAGAAATGTGGTCTTGTTGGAGGCCATGTGTCATTGAGGGTGGTCTTTAAAGTTTCAAAAGCCCCATGCCTGACTCTCTCTCTCTCTCTCTCTCTCTCTCTCTCTCTCTCTCTCTCTCTCTGTCACACACACACACACACACACACACACACACACACACACCCCTGACGCCTATGGATCAGGATGTAAAGCTCTTAGGTACTGCTCCAGTGCCCTGCCTGTCTTCTTCCTGCCATGACGAGCATGGACTCACCCTCCCAAACTGTAAGCGATTCCCCCGGTTAAAGGATTTCTTTGATAAGAACTGCCTTGGTCACAGTTTCTCTTCACAGCAATAGAACGGTGACTAAGACACCAATCTTATCAAATTAAGACTCACCTTGATCTGCTTTGCACCTGGTTACCTATGAAAAGTCCCTATCTTCAAATACAGACCCCGTCTGAGGTATGGGAGGTGAGTTTCACGTAGGATCATGGGATGGGATGTAATCCAATAACACTACACATGTGCAATGTGCTATGGGCTTTGATTAGTTGAAATCCTCTCCATCAAGGAGAATAGGCAAAGACGAGGGGAAGGTGGCTGTCTCCTGCCCTTGGGTCCCTGTTTCCTGTCACTGCAGCCTGCCTCTGAAGTGACTGAGGCTTTCCAAGGATCTAATTAAAGGGCATCTCCTCGGTGGCCCAGCAGAAGTCCTGATGTTCAACACAACATTTTAATTACTTTTTAAATGCACCCTAATCATGCCGACACGGTGGCAGAGAGCTTGATGAAAGTAGCTTTGCTGGCAGAGGAAAGCTCTCCACGAAAGCTCTGTTCTCAGGAAACACGGGAGACCCAAGTACAGGTTTTTCAAAGGGAATGAGAGCAGGCCACTGTCACACCCCAGTGGTTAGCAGGACCTCTTGGTTTCTTCTGTCTGGCTAAAGGGTGTCAGAACTGGGAGCGTCGCTCAATGGAACATTGCAAGCAGATGGCTTGGCCAAGGGTGTTCTCAGTAGCACCCCAGGTGACAGACTCAAGCCCCTGTCAATTGTCCTTTGAGGCAGGACAATTTGTCTCAAATTCAGACCAGACTGAAGAAAATTAACACCCTCATTTACTCAGGCATGTCTTCATAAGTAAAAAAAAGAGACCAAACCCCTTGCCTCCATTCTGGAATATCCTCAGGAAGAGTGGCAGGACCTTGTCATTTGGCTGGAAACAAAGACGCACTGACTCATTTATGCAGTCTGGAAGTTGTTAGTTTCCACCGCAGCTGCAGCCTGCCCCTGCTACCAAAGCAGTTCAGTTACGTCATCACCTGTCGCCAGGCACTTTTCCACTGTCAGCTATGCGACGTGTGCACCCTTTAAAGGCGCCTGCCAGGCACAGCTTGCCTCTTGCCTCTTCATTCCTCTCTTATATCTGTCTCTCTTGCCCCTCTTCTTCTTGTTGTTTCCTGCCTGCCTGCCTGCCTGCCTGTCTGCCTGTCTGTCTGCCTGTCTGCCTGCCTGTCTGTCTGTCTGTCTGTCTGCCTGCCTGTCTGTCTGTCTTCCTCTCATATCCCCACTCTGACACAGCCTTTCACTCTTTTACTCTTTCCCTTACCCAATAAGCCTCTTACACTAACTCTGTTGCACATGGCGTGTTTGCTTAGTGGCATGCCTTGGCAGGGCCCACCAGAAACTACACACTTAGTCTTTCTTGATGGGGAAGTCCTGTGTATGTGTCAATAAAGCACTGTTGGACAATAGGGAAGCAAGATAGGTGGGACTAGGAGTCCAGGAGGACTCTGGGTAGGAGAAACACAGGGAAGTCAAGATGTAACCGCCATAGGGGTAAGAAGCCCGGAAACTTTCCTCCGGTAAGAGAAATATTTAGATTGGCAGTTATGGGGTAATTACTTAAGTCAGAGCTAGCCAGTAAGAAACAAGCAAGGCCAACAGCTTCATAATTAATACAGCGTCTTGTGTGTTATTTGGGACTACAACGCAGCAGAGCCCAGGCGACTGGTGGGGAAAAACCAAGCGGCTGGCATGGAAAGGGCTTCTCTCTACACTTTCTTTCTTCCTTTCCTTCTTTCTTTCTCTCTCTGCTTCCTTACTTCCTTTCTTTCTCTCTCCTTTCTTTCTTTCTTTCTTTCTTTCTCTCTCTCCTTCCTTCTCTCTCTCTCTCTCTCTCTCTCTCTCTCTCTCTCTCTCTCTCTCTCTCTCTCTCTGACCCTTTTCTACAAGGCATTCACTGGCTGTTCGTCTTCTCTGACCCACTTTTTATAATGACCCAGGACATTATTTTCAAATGTCTGAGGCCGGAGGCTGGAAACTGGTAAGCCCCAGGCCAAATTTAGGTAGTGCTTCTATTTTCAGAGATAAATTCAAATGCTTCAGATAGACCCACTGACTCTAGGCTCCTCTGCTCCCTTCCCTTCCCTTGGTAGTTACTGCCTGATCTCAGATGTTGAGGCTCTAACTTCGCAAGTTCTGGGGGTAAGGATACTTAGCATTGGAGAACCAGAGTGAGGGACTCTGAGAATGGAAAGGATCTACTTTCTGCTCCTACCAAGACAATCAGGCACTCCCTGAGATGGACCACAGAGTTCCAAGGGTTGGAGTGCACCTTCTGAAAGATCTGGTGGGTGACTGGATCAGGGCAGACATACTGGAACAGAGGAGCCTGTGTGTCAGGCTTCACAGGGAGTTTCCACATACCTCATAGGGCAAACAATCTTCTCTGAAACTCCTCATTTGCATTCATTTGCATAAGCCCCAGAATTGTTTTACATCTCAAGTCAGGCTCTGGGCCCTAAGAAACTGACTATGAAACAGAGAGATTAGTCTCCAAGTCATGGCAAAGACAATGAAACAGAGAGATTGCTTGTATGTATTTTAATATGCTTTTAACCTTTCATAATATAGATTGAATTGTAAGCAATATGTTTACTATATAACACAAAATGTTTATATAAGGCACATTCAATTTAGGACATAATAATGTATAGTAATATAAACCCAAGCATCACTAAGTTATTTGTTATATTCCACAATTAAAAAAATTTTATTTATCAATATGTATGTGTGGTGCATGTGTAGATGCCAAAGGACAACTTTTTGGCGTCCATTCTCTCCATCTTCCTTTACTTGGGTCCTGGGAATCAAACTCAGGTCCTCAGAATTGCTAGGAAAGTTCCTTATGCACTAAGCCATCTTGCTGGGCTCTCTCCAGGACATTTTTACCGAAGAGAATTTTGCATATTCAGAAGTAGGCTGTACTAGGCAGGGTTCCACAGAGGCACAACATTGGGTAGTCCAACAATGGCAGTCTGCATGCTAAGGGAGGCCTAGGACCCCGTAGCTACTCTGTCTGTGGAGCTGGGCACTTCAGCCGTCCCAGTCTGGCATTGAAGGTCTGGAAGATTCCTGGGGAGTCTTCAGTACATGTGTAGAAGGCTGAGGGAGCTGGAGTCCCTTTGCCTCATCTACTGTGCTACTATACTATCTTACTAGCAAGGGCTGGCGACACCAGCAGCCAGGGGCAGCAGCAGGGATAATGAACCCACCAGCAAAAAGGAAGACAGGGAGGGGAGGCAGGAGCAATGATTTCCTCTCAGGTCCCTTCATGCTGAGCCACCCTTTGCAAGATGTCACCCCTTTGAGGAAGGGTCATCTCCTCTCAGTTAGTACTTTCTAGAAACAGAGAGAGAGAGAGAGAGAGAGAGAGACATGTGTTCTTGTACACAAACTTTTTTTTCTACTGCCAGCCCCAAATAATAACATGGAGACTTCTTATTAATTTGAAAGCTTGGCCTTTAGCTTAGGCTTATCTCAACTATCTCTTATAACTTAAATTAACCCATTTATACTAATCTACATCCTATCATGTGGTGTAACTTTTTTCATCATGCACCTCCTGTTTCCTCTCAGCCTTGCTGGCCACTACGCCCTCAGTTGTCCCAGAGTCCTCTCTGTTTCCAGAAGTCCCACGTAACCTCTGTCAAGCTATTGGTCATTTAGCTTTTCATTACCCCAATCCCAGAAATATATTTTCACATAGTGTGCAAATATCCCACAGCATGGTCTCTCAGGAGATTCCGGATCCTGTCAAGTTGACAGCCAAGATTGACCATCACATGGACAAAGTGGAATGAACAGTTCTCCACACATCATTGATGGGTGATGACCTTTCTCCCCATCTACTTTACTGGACCAAGCTAGGCATGACCAAGGCCTCCCTTATTCCAGCCAGTTTCATCTGAGGCGTTGATGGAATCTTCACTTTTGGCTCGGGAAAGACATACTCCTGTGTACTCCTTTTGTATACTGTGAAAATGTGTTGCTCTCATTCTTAATAAAAATTTGATTGACTGATAGCTAGGCAGGATTTTTGGAGCAGGGAGAATGCTGGGAAGAAGGGTGGAGTCTGAGGGGTCTCAAGGAGAATCAGAGAGACGCAAGATGAACATGCCATGTTAAAAGAAGACACTGACTGACTGATGGAAGCAGAGACAGATACTCACAGCTAAACACTGAACTGACCCCTGGAGCCCAGTGACAGAGATGGAGGAGTGATGAGCAAAGGGGTCAAGACCGTGCTAGTAAAACCCACAAAGACATCTGACTGGACAAGGGGAGCTCTTGAACACCAGACTGATGGCTAAGAGGCCAACAGGGGACTGATCCAGACTCCATGAATGTAGTGTCAGTGAGGAGGCCTCTGCAATCTCTGGGGTCTTGGGTAGTAGACTAGTGTTTACCATGGCATACAAATGAACTTTGGGAGCCCAAAGCTCTCTCAGCCTGGACACAGGGTGAGGGCCTAGGTCCTGCCCTGGATGAAATGACAGACTCTGGAGATCCCCCCCCCCAAGGAGGGCCTCACCCTCCCTGGGGAATGATATGGGGATTGGGCTGGGGGGGGGGGTTGGTGGAGGGACAAGGGAAGAGGGGTGGGAGAGGGAGCTGGGATTGACATTTGAAGCATGCGTGTTTCTAATTTAAATAAAAACATAAAAAGAAGACACTGACACGTGGCAGAGGAATATGGGTTAATTTTAATTATAGGAATTAGCTAGTAACAAGCCTGAGCTATTGGCTGAGCATTTATAATTAATACTAAGTTTCTGTGTGGTTATTTTACTGGCTGGTGGGAAAGAAAAGTCCACCCACATCAGACCATGCTCAGTCCTGGGCTCTGTGTGTGCAATGCCTCTCGGGTGTAGCTGGAAGTAAGGGTAGAGGAGCTGTCATATCCGGATCTTGGATCTCTAAGTCTGGGAGAGCACTGCCGGGGACCCCGTCAGAGTCAAGGCAAAGAGGGCTGAGTGGCTTGCGGTTCTAGCCTTGGCCAACTTTTAGACCATCCAGGATATCAAAAACTTAGAGCTCTGGCAGAAACAAGACTTCCTTCAAATGACTGTCTCCAGCTTTTCGGTGACAGGAATGTGTGGGTATGAGCTCAGGCGTGTTTTCCTGTCGCTTGCCTAAGCACAAGACAACAGACCTGAACTGATGTGCCCACTGTCCTTGGGAAACACCTCTAGCCTTTGAAAGTTTGGTGCAGGGGTTGGAATTCTGTCCTTCAACTACACTTCCAGATGGTATGTCTTGCTAAAAGCAAGTCTGTGATTGCTAAGGAGTCTGCAGTGATTAGCAGGCCAAATACAAGGACCCTCCTTGTGCCTATTGGTTTGACTAGGTTCTTGCTCACTGACCTTCCAGAAAGATCTACTAAGACCTGTGTGAGGGAATTCTGCCTGCAGGATCCAGGACTGTTCAGACCTAATCAAACAACAGACTCTGTTAGATATCTTGGGGAGACATATTCCCAGTACTAGGTAGAAATCCAATCTCTCCCAAAGATAATAGTGTAGCAACTCCCATTCTTATAACTCATTCGAGTAAGTGAAATGATCTGTTTCTAGGCAACTCCATCTCTTCAGCACCATTCATTTCACATGGGAAAATAAGTTCTCACATCTAATGATCATGAATGAAGCCTGTGGTCCAGACTAGCTTGAATGTGGTACCTCTGTTCCTTGAGGCAACCCTTGATATAGTCTTGCAGATGCTAGACAGCTTCTCCTAGGGAGTAGAGCCATCTCTCCCCTCTCCCTCTCCTCCTCTCTCCCTCCCTCCCTCCCTCTGCATCCTTACTGATTATTTAAATGTAAATTATGTACACTTGAACACCACTAGTCTGCTTCCATTTGGTGAATCTAGTTGACCTCTTTCAGATAACCACCAAGTCTACAGAGAAGGAAGAGTAAGTCGTGGAGTGCGGTTCACAGGACAGGTGACAGATCAATCAGTGTACACAGGACACGCTGGCATGATGATGTCATCCCCACTGGTGGGGACAATGCTGATTCTGAAGACAGAGAGCAGATGTATCTTTCCCTCAAGAGACCTTCAGAGAAACATCTGGAACTCATGTCCCAGTTCTCAGACAAGACTTTCACCTGGCTCTGTGGATATACAAGAGTAGGGTGTTGATCACCAAGGCTGAGAGACTGAATTTGTGTGTTCAGAGCACACAGGGCACGTGGAGGAGGTCCTAGATTGAGGAAGAGAGACATGGACTGGTTTAGGGGGTGGTCTTGTAGACCCATGGTGAGAATTTGAAGGTGCCCCTGGAAAGAAAGCCTGAGGTCTCAGCTCCTTTTACCTTAGAATGTGACCTTGTCCCCAAGTGGGGCCATTGCAGATCTAGTCAAGTTCAGAGGCCACTAGGGTGAGCCTTTATCCACCGTGACTAGAATCCCTACAGAAGGGAAAACTTAGACACAGGCATGGGAGGATTGGGTGAGAGTTATAAGTAGACGAAGACTATGTGAGGAGTGGACTTAAGCTTAAGAGTCAGCAAAGGTAGGGGCCAAACCAGAAGCTGTAAGGGGCAAGGAAGTATGCTTCTGTAGATTTCCGGGTTACACCTTGTTTTATGCTTTAGTGCCAGAACTGTGATGGAGACAAGAGACACACAATTTGTGGTTCTGTGTTAAAGCAGTTCTTGGAAGTGAGGTCCCCCCCACTCCCCCCCAGGAAGGGGGGCTATGGGAAACCAGGAAAGGGTTTTTTTTTTTTTGGTTTTACGAGACTAGGTTTCTCTGTATTGTTTTGGAGGCTGTCGGTCCAGCCTGGCCTCGAACTCACAGAGATCCACCTGCCTCTGCCTCCTGAGTGCTGGGATTAAAGGCGTGCACCACCACCGCCCGGCTGGGAAAGGGGTTTTAAGAAAGAAGGTTGAGCCTCTAGACTTGATGTGGTCTTAGCATTGTCAAGCGTCCAGGCGTCAATTACCACTATGGCTGAACCGCGAGTACCAATTTTCCGTTTATTTCTTTGTTTTGAAACTGTACCCGGGTCAAAAAGAGAAAAGCAGTGTCAGCCCACAGGGTTCTGCTCCATTTTCCCAACAGAAGACAATCAGCAAGGGCAGAGGAGTCAGCCTAGAGTAAGGTACCCGAGTAAGGTGCTCCTCTCCATACCCCTGTAACCTCAGGATGCAGGATCAGAGGGGAGAATGGAAGGGCTTGGAAGAGCAGAAAACTCATCCCACTGTGGAGTGTCTCAGAGGCCTCTGGTGAAGGCATCTGGCCGGGAATATGCACCATTGCTACACTCCCTCTGTGCTTTGTAAGGAGGCTATTCACCTGACCGAGGTGGCGAAGACAACCTCCCCATCTCCATGAAACCTGCAAGGTGAAGTTATTGCTACTCTGCTGTAGCTAATGGTTGACTCGGAAGGTTTACACAGGCTGTTTAAGAGAAGTGTCTGCAATCCAGATGGGAGATACCGGCGATTATGACTGGATGGAATCAAACCTTAGAGTTTGAAATCCAGGAGAAAAATGATGACTGGTGAGAACAGATAAGCCGTGAGCAGGAGACAAACAAACAAACAAACAAACAAACACCAAACTAATTGGAACTTCCAAAGAAGCTGAATGTACTGACAGCAGCCAGACCCTTTGTGGAAATGGAGCACTGATAACTCCTGCAACAACTTGCCCAGGAAAGCAGCCCACTGTTACTAGATCCAACTCCAGAAGCCAGTTTGCTGTGAGGCAGACCAGTACACCACCCTTGTCTGACAGTCAGCCTCAAATGTTGAGGACAGCGGCTTACATTTTGCTTCCTGCTTACAACTAATGCAAGAAAGCAAACATGCTCCCCTAAGTCACCACAGTGCCAAATGTGCTCCCCTAACTCAGCGCACATTCCACTTTTACCAGGCGGCTTGCAATTTCCCCGTGCCAACAGCCTCCAGCTGGAGTAGAACGGAAGCTTCCCCTCTGCACTGCGACGCCTGCTTTGGGAGTTTTTCCCAGGTCAGGCCAATTCTTAGTATAGCCAACTCTGAAGGAGTAGGCAGCCTTTGCTTGTTCTCATCACAATGAGAACTTTACTTTCATGTTTTCCTTTTGCGTGTGTGCATGCGTGCGTGCGTGCGTGTGTGTGTGTGTTTGATGTGTGAATGTATGGTGCATGTGTGTGTAGATGTGAGTGTGTGTATGTACTTGTGTGTAGGCATGGAAGTCAGAAGGATAATGGATGTTCTCCATCTTACTTCCTTCACCCAGGGCCTGTCAGTGAACCTGTAGGTAGGCTGGCCTCCAGAACCCTCCACCAGGTCTGCCTCCATCTCCCGTAGCACTGGGGTTACAGGTGTGCATAGCCACACCCAACTTTTCACATGGGGTGGGGAGGGGTCCAAATTCGGGTCCTCATGTGTATAGCTCAAGTGTTCATACCCACTGAGCCATCTTCCCAGCTCCTTCCTTTCCTTCTTGATGCTTTCTTCCCTGTGATGGGTAGGCAGTGGTGACTTCTCGTCCAGTGGGCACTTCAAGGGTACCAACTCCACAAGCTGCCTCTTTCCCACCCCTCCCTCCCTCCCTCGCTCCCTCCCTCCCTCCTTCCCTCCCTCTCTCTTCATTCCTCGCTCCCTCCTCTGTTTTGCTGACCCCTTTCCTTTCTCCCTTTGCCTTCCTCTTTGACTTTTCCCTCAGTCGTTACTTGACCAAAGGCCTAAGGGACTGGATGGAGTACATGGTTGTGGTGACTAATCTTGATTGCCAAAGTTGTTGTATTGAGACACGCTGAGGAGAATGATAAACCATAATTCTGGGTGTGTCTGTGAGGGCGGACCTGGAGCTGATTAGCATATAGGATAGCCATTTCTATTCTTCTTGAGTACATCTATTGCTTCTGTCATTGCCTGAGGACTTCAATACCAGCTTCTATGGCCTTTACTGTGACTCACACCAGTGATTCTCCAAGGCATCACTGTGAGCCTGCATCTTTGGTGGCTTCCGTTCTGAGGCTGTCGGCTTCCGGGAGCATGCAGCTATTGCGTTCTCTGGCTCCAGCA